TCAAATCGATATTTATGAAATATAATATATCGGATTCAAATTATCGATAAAAAAAATATTAATCTATATTTAATTAATTGAATTTGAATTCAAATCAAAATTTAATTCATTGACAGGCCTAATACTCAACACAAACATGAAATAACACGACACGAACTAAACCCAACACGATTCGACTATGACCCCTAATCCTCTATGTGAAAGCCTCAGTGGCACGCTATGGTGATGGACTTTTGAGATCGAAAAAATAGGTCTTGTATGACAATGAAATTCAAAATTTCTTTTTTTTTTGGTAAAAAAGAGTACAAAAAAAAAAAATGTAAGCAAGCCTGAGGCTTGAGACAAGTCATAAGACCATACAGGGTAATGGTCAATCTAGTCTAAAAAATATTAAAATAATAAAATTTAAAGATATGATACTAAAATATTTTTTTCAATATCATAGTGAAGTCATTCTTTAAGACCTCGCGTCCATCGAAGGAAGAATAAAAGAAAAAAGTTATTAACCACGACGATTTGACCATTACAAAAACCACCGAAAAAGGGCAAACGTTACGATACCGAAGAAGATATCGTACAAAAATTTACAATTATTTAAATTAAATAATAATATTTTTGATATGTAAGTTATAATCTTTAAAGGTTATGATCGATCATAATAGATTAAAATTGATGACGAAGTTATAATTCTTAAATGTCATAAAGAAGAAGTTACAATTATTCAAAAGAAGTTTATGATTGACCACATGTATCTGTGATCGATAATGGATTTTCCTTGAGTAATTATAATTTCTTTCTTCTAAGTTGTAATTTTATCACAAAAATAATAAACGATGATATGATACCAAAAATAGTACCTTAGCCTGTACTTAAAAAGGATGTAATGTCCTACTCCATTCCCTATTTTCTTCCAACAAAACTTGGTCAGCAACGCGGTTTCTTTCTCCTTTTTTTGGGTACATGGTCATGTGGTTAAAGCTGGGGACAGAAAAGTAAAGGTGGTAAATTAAATACATGAACTACATGGGGCTGGAGATTGACTCTTGAGTAAAAAAGATAGGTTGAACTTTCCAATGGTGATTGATGGTCATCATTCTAGAAAGTTTTATCAACAGTGATCAACTTTTTTTAAATTATAGAGTATATGTAACCCTTTTTAATTTATTTTCATTCAATAAAAATAAATTACACCTAGAATTTCTATATTTTTTTTATTTTTGTTACTTTATTATCCTTTCAATCAATAATTTCACATCATCTAATTTAAAATCAATGGTTAAGATTGATGGAGGTACCTTTATTCATGCAGTGTAAGATCCATTATAAAAAGTTATTTCATAATCCTTTTATTTATTCAACATTTTTATTTTTATCGTAAGACGCGGTAGGAAAATTTATTTAATTTACTGGTTAAGGAATTCTTTATCTAATCACATGCACAAGTGCTCACTGAATAAGACACTGTTTGGATGATCTTGAAAACTAGAGGTAAAAACACAAGTAAAATTTTCAAAATTGAGTTACAAATGTGAATTATATCTTAAGCAATATATTATGTGGAACTATAATTTACGAGGGTAATTTATTTATAGCCATAAAATTATATTATAAATAAGGAAAAAGGGGGGCGGTATATTGTCACAAATTAATTTTAGAAAAATATTATTTGAACCTAATTTACTAACTTAATGCATAATAGTTATTGAATTGATAACGAGTCCTAAATAATAATGGGGTCATTGTCAATCTAATGACAAAAAATAAAGTTTAAATAGCATTACTCTAATTTTTATTATTGTAACAGCCAAAATTTAATTTTTACGATGACATTGTATAAAATTGATTTTAATAGGTTCTTTATAAATCGAAATTTGTTGTTGACTATAATTGTTGAATAATACCATTAGACAATTTTTTTGTATATGCCATCATTTTGACCTCTCTTAAAATAAAATCCTGATTTCGCCCCTACATCCAACTATCAGTATTGATTTAGTAAGTAAACTCAGATAAATATTTTGGTAAGTGAAGCTTCACTCCTTGGGTTGGGTTCGGGTTTTACCTTTTCCATGAATGAGAAAAAGGCCAGCCCAATGAGGACTTTATTAAATGGTCCGATGGAATCAATTAGCCCATGGGTTTGGTCCAGCAAGCTAGGGCTGAAGCCATTAGTGTTTGTTATTTTGGCCTTGTTAGCATGCTTTGAGGATTCTTCCACTATTTTTCCTTTTCTTTTTTGAGTTTTTTTTTTGGAGGTCGGTCCCTAGGCCAATATAATTCTAAAAAAAAACCACTCATCAATTTCTTTTAAGATTAGGTCTCCGTTGAATAGTAAAAGTAATGGGCATAAATAATACTCTTTAAAATTGCAAAAAATAATGACAATATCATCATCTAATTTAAATAAATATTCTAGAAAGTTACGTTATCATAATGTATCTTATTCTCCATAAACACAAATGGTCAGACATATACACTAATAGTCAGATAAGTGCACAATAATCGTCAAATAAGTACACTAATCTTCTCCATAAACACACAATATATCATATACGACAAACAACAAACACGATTATTCATTACATTATACGAATAAATACATCTATGAGATAGGTACATCAGTATTTAATTGAGAAGAAGTTACATATATCTGTCATTACCGATATACAAGTACATAAAATCGTACACAATTTAAAGTTAAGGATTTCATCCGCCCCAAATACATATCTATGAGAGGTAGCATCCCAAAGTTGCATTGAATGTACTCCTTTGTATTTATACCCTTATGATGACCCATGAACATGTAACTTCTACCATTTATCATTCCAAGACTAGTGACAATAGCAAGATCATCATAATTTGCTCAAATCACCGTGAAGCTCTACAAACTAGACATCAGAAAAGGGTAGAATTAGGAAAACTGATCCTCCACCACCACTCTCATTTTTTTTTTTCACAGTTCTCGTCACAACCATGGCTTACCCTAGACCCTTCAATCACTTCATATATTACGCACATCTTTCAAATTTAGGCTAAAATTATATGATGAGAGTAAAATAGATAATAAATATACAATAATTACCCAACCCCCCACCAGCACAAGGATTGCATTCAGAGTTTTTAAAAACAAGGACCTTTTTATATACTACAATCTTGAACTTATTTTATAAACTATCATAACAGTCTTAAACTGGCGTAGTGTAGTAAAATAAAAGTACAAAAAAAAATGAAATGAAAAGTGTCTACTGTCTAATGAATAGGACATAAATCTTCTAAACCTTTGGTATAAGTTTAAATCTTATTGGATGTGGCCCCTCTTTACTTAAAGGCAACCTCTTAACCTATTGAACATGCTTACCCATTGGATGAGAAAGTGGAATTTGCCCTCAAAACCTTATATTTGTACATGAATCATTTACCTTTAACTATTCAATACTTCTATGAAAAATTGATAATATTAGAGTGTTTCAATGACCGAATCCACATTGAGTTGGATAAATGCATTGTTGTGAAGTATGTGTTCGTGTATGTCCTATAGATTTATTCATTGTTGATTGAAAATTGGAAACTGACATTCGAAAGAAAAATAAAAAATATTTAATTGAAACATGAAAACGCAACTAAATTGGTCCAGTTATTCTTTGGGACGGAGTGGAAGAATGGAGAAGATTGGCTGAGTGGAGGGTCACTCTGCTGACCAAAACCAATGTAAGTCCCTCCCAAAACAAAAGGGATTGGAATCATTCCACATATATCTCTTTCAGGAAGAGTCTTAATTGACGCTGCTGCTGCAACTGGTGAACTGATCGACCCTCCCTTAACTTAACTTAGTTGTTAAAGGATAGGATGTAACTGAAGCAAGCAAAGTGTGGAATTGAGTGATAAACCTTTCTTTTTAGAATAAATTTTTTTTTTTATTTTAAGAAAGTGTATGATAAATTATATAATAACTGCATGGTGTAGGTCAAATATAACATCAAGCCTCTGATGTGCAACTGATCGTCAAAATCCAGGATTTTTCATTAAAAAAACTTTTTCCACTCATATGAGTGAGATCAAAACTTTTTTCCTTATCAAAACAATGTATTTTTCATTATAAAAGAGCGACAAACTAGTTGCTATAAGGATTTTCTTACTCAACTGGAATAAGGAGTGTCAAGAAATAAAGCTACCATTCCACAAGTAAGATTAAAGATTTATCTTTCCTTAAAACCGAAATGCCATTCATCTTAGCTTACTAATCCATTATGTTCTTTCCTTCCATTCAATTATTTTAATTTTTTTTACTTAAATATTACAATTTTAAACTTATTTCATAAACTATCATAACAGTATTAAAACTATACTTTAAATTCACTTTTTAATATTAAAATACATTTACAGAACAGATTTTTCAGGAAATCCTTAAAAAATAAGGGTACTTCGAAAGTATAGTTACGAATTTTTAAAAATAAGGATACTTTGAGTTAAGAATTACATATTTTGGTTATAAAAATTAAAAAAATTCAGTAAAAGAGAGTCCCCAGGCCCCAATTACAAGGATCAACGGTGATCCAGGCGAGTTTGCAGCTGATACACATACCTCCTAGCGTAGAGGATTTAATCCATCAGCTGTCGTTTCAAGATCCTCTGAAGCGACTCCAAAATCTTTTTCACAAATGCAACGGATGCCGGTAATAAAGAACCTGCAAATACAATTCACCTCCACGCCATCATTTCTTCTTCTCCCCCCCCCCCCTCTCTTTCATTTTTTTCTCTTATTGTCTGCTAAAGGATCATACCACCTGATCTCTAGGAAGTGGAACTGAAGTTACAACTAGTCAGTAATGGCCTCCAGTAGCATGAAAGAGAGAACTGAGACAGCAAGGCTTCACGTCGAATCCATAAGAAAAGAGAAATTCTCAATACGTGAAAAACGAGCAAACCCTTTAACTGCTGATCTTCACAACGCTGTCACCAACCTCTCCTCTGAGCTCTACACCAAAGATGTCCATTTTCTTATGGAGCTAATTCAGGTTCTCTCCCTCCCTCTTCTTTCTTCACATTTACAGTGTTCTGAACCTGTTTGATGTGCGAATGGTGCTTAAGTAGTTGTTTTTTTTATGGGTCTGTGCTTTGGTGATCTTAGAATGCCGAAGACAATGAATATTTGCCTGATGTTAAGCCGACGTTGGAGCTCGTGTTTACGACCACTGATGTAACCGGCACCGGCGCTCCGGCGACTCTGTTGGTATTTAACAATGAGGTGGGTTTTTCTAAGGCAAACATTGATTCCCTCTGCTGCATTGGCCAATCTACTAAAAAGAACAAGAGACGCCAAGGCTTCATCGGAGAGAAAGGTAATGAAACATTCTTGGCTTTTTCCTATATGGGTAGGAGAATATTTTAGAGAGGGAGAGAGACCTAATATAAACTAGTTAATGAACTAATTATGGGTAGCCAAGGCTTCATTGAAAAAATAAACTAGTTAATGACCTAATATTATACTTGAGTAGGAGAATATTTTAGAGAGAGAGAGAGAGAGAGAGAGAGAGAGAGAGAGTTAATTGCAGGTGTGTGGAAGATTAATAGCACTTTTGTGGTAGAAGTGGCCTTGGAGGGGCCAATATACTACAGAAATGGAGCAACAACTTCTTGGAGTATAGTATATATATACATGAGGGTTTTTTTTTTTTTTTGTTGGGGGTTGGGGGGAGGCCCTATACTAGTTCTGTCCATGAGTGCACATGATGTTCTCTCCTATTTATTGATAGTGGGCATGTGATTTCCATTTGAATCTCACAAAAGTTAGTACATGAAAGAGATCACTCTATCGAGATTTTCAGGTGTTCAAGTATGACTTGCAGAACCAGATCTGAGAGAGTATACTCTCCATTCTCGAGAGTTGAATCCTACCGCCAACTATTTGCTATTTTGAGTCTGTTTGTCTTGATTTTTACTCAAACTGTACATTTTAAGAAAGCAAATAGTGATCTGTTGGAAGACCAGTTCTGTTGGAAGAACGTCATATTTGGCAAACTTTACAGATCATCAGCTTTCGGTCAATTATTTGACAATTCAGGTGCCTCACTGTCTAGGCTGGCTTCTCAATGTTTACTAGAGATTTATGTGTCATATCTTGAGATGCCTGCATGGTTGAAATTGTGGATAAATTCTCAGACACTTCTTATAGATGCTTATTAGGTGGTTTAATATTTGAGCTTTAAAGCACGGTATTTTTGCAGTAAGTTCATCAAACTTATTTTTATTTTCACTAATTTTATTTCTTACTTGCAGGAATCGGGTTCAAGAGTGTGTTTCTTGTTAGTACACAGCCATACATATTTAGTAATGGGTACCAAATCAAGTATGGTGAGGTTCCAAATGAAGACTGTCGTATTGGGTATATTGTCCCAGAGTGGGTTGCTACAAAACCAACTGTTGCAGATTTACAGAGCACATATGGATCTGGCAGGCTCCTGCCCACGACTGCAATTATTCTTTCCTTAAAGCCTGATAAAATTGAAGCTGTGAAGCAACAGCTCTCAGAGATACATCCAAAAGTGTTGCTCTTTGTGCGTGCAGGATCTTGCACAATATAAAAAACGAGAACAGGTCTCTCCCTTGGTAAACTCGGGTGAGTCAGCTGAGTGGTCAACCACGCTGCTTGGGATAGCCTGTGAGATCCGATGGTAACCTGGAAACGGCAACGGGAGACTCTCATGAATTGAAGGAATGATCCAGTAAGGCTGGAGAAAGGTTCCTGGAACAAAGGAGAACAAGTTAGAAGGGCGCCGAAGTGTTTTTCGGCGTATCCCCTCCAACGATCAAGTTAGTTTTTGAAAGGGAGAGGAAGAAGAAAGCACTGAGTATATTTCGTAGTCAAGAGTTTCTTGTTGCATACCGTTTTGCCTTTTATGAGGAGTACTTATACCTCAAAAGCTCATGATTGCTGTCAGTGTTGTCAGTAGATGATTATCAGGTACAGACAGTGTGCGCACTGATTCTAATGAGGAATGTCCTCCTTTCTTTAACTGTTCGGAGTGTCGAGCAATCAATGTTGTGTCATTGGGCTGCCGACTGTCTAATGATCTCCACTCGGGGAGGATGCAATAAATGCCCAGCCTTTGAGACATTTATTGCCTTTCAATTCCGAGCCTTACCGCATTGAATGCGGTCTCATCAACGGAATGATTTAATTAAATGTTTGCTTTCCCAAGTCGCGTTGTCAGTAAGGACATGCGGTCTTTCTGTCTCTGATGTGACACAATTTGCCACGCGTCCATCCCTCATTGGCTTGGCTGTGAACCTTGCCTTCCTGTTCCTTCTGACACCAATTGTGTAAGACGAGACCATGATAGCTAACCTAGACTAGCCTAGGCTAATGACCTGTACATCTATAGTTTATACTGGAGCAGAGAAAAAGGCATCCTGGACGGGGGTACATCTCGGTACTGAGGATAGGACATCTCGAGCCGAGGGAAGCTGTACATGACGATCGAGGTACCATATCAGACCGAAGGTCGATTCGTAAAACATACTCGACACGTGTCAAGTACCTCGGGGGCGAGGGAGTTTGTAAGCCGATGGTACGTGATCTCAGTTAACAGGATTTTTAGTGACGCCGAGGACACGTGTCTTTATCTTGGAGTATTTAAGAAAAGTCCCATCAACTGCCCCCAGCCTTTGATCTTCTGACGCCGAGGACACGCGTCGTAAGGAGACAAAGAGTTTCCCAACAACCTCAACTGCTTCATCATTGCCTCTAGCCGCTTTCCCTGCTTAGGGAGTCGTGCGCATTAAATGCGCTCATTTGTGTTTCGCGCCCAATGATGAGACCGGTACTATATAAATGGGCTTTCTCCCTCTTTTTCTCATTTTGTCATTCTGAACTTTTCTTCCAGAGAGCCCTTGCCTGAATCTTCGCCGGAGACCTCTTCTCTTCTGTCTCTTAACTGCCCAACCTTTTCACTGAAGCTTTAAAGCTAGCAGACCCATCCTTTGTTTCTGAACATTCTAGGAAGGAATCGATTCAAGTTTTCCAGAAAATACCTGTTCTTACGCTCTGGTGAGTTCCAGTATCCTCCATTTCTTTGCCCTTCTGTCTCTTTTGGTTTTTCGATTACCGGAGGTGTTTTCTGGTTGACATCCAGCGATTGACCCCTGGGAAGCCTTCTTGGGGATCTTCGTGGAAAAACCCCTCTATTTTTATCACTTTTTGAACATGTCTCGTCGTCGTTCTGCCCCTGAGAATCCTCAGGCTAGTACTTCGAGGCCAGGGAAGTATAAAGTAAAAGGTAGTGAACAAATTAATAGATTTAGGGTTAGGTATGGCGTTCTACCGAATGTAGAGGTAGAGGATTATGATGCGGCTGTGCACCCTCGTACCCTTGGTACCGAGGATGCAATGCCTTTTTATATTAAAGCCATTATAGAAGGCGGAATTAGGTTCCCTTTGCCCCTGTGCTTCTCCAGTTCCTCTCTCATTTTCACCTCTTTCCCGGGCAGTGTTGCCTTAATGTCTTTAGGATAATTATGGGGGTGCTAGAACTCAATAGGCGTCTTGGGATAAACGTCGGACTGGACGATATCCTTTTTTGTTATTCCCTTTTGAGAGTTACGCCTCAACAACACTTCTACCTCAAAGCCAGGGACCCATCTATGTACCTCGTAACTCACCTTCCTGACTCGGACAAAGAGTACAAGGATGACCTACTCATCTTCAGGGGATCTTAGCAGAGAGGTGTCGGTCCCGAGTATGACGGCTTGTTATGTCCATTGGAATGGAGAACGACAAGTACGTCGATTCCTTCGGGCCTCATTATTTTGTTTTTGAAATTTTCTACATGCTCATGACCGTCTCTCCTCTTTTTGCTTGTGCAGACATCTCCCCTCGGGAAACAGAACCTCCACCCCGATCGTTGGTGAATTTTGCTGACTTAATCACTGTTTGGAATTTTACTGGCGATGACGGGCTCGGCCGGGCTGCCCACATCCTCCTGAATTACACTCCTGGGTATAAAAAGTTTTCGCAGCTTCCCTAGCCTTTCGAGCCTTCTTGGTGGTCTGAACTTTTTGATCAGGCGACGGGGCAGGAAGTTGAGGAGAACTTGGAAGAAGACCCTGATCGGGGCTCGGAGGCTGAAGTTGAAGAGCTCGGGGTCGGAGAGGACTTGGTTCCTACGCACGCCGAGGTGGGGACTTCGGGGAGAGATTCCTGGCCGGACTTCCAAATCTTACAATCTCTCGACGTCGAGGACGCCCTTGAGGTAGCTATGTCCAGCGCGCCCCGTATTGATTTAGGGTTCTTTAGGCAGAGGCAAGCCCTCGCTGCTGGAAGGGGACGAGGATCGACCGGTGGGACCCCACCTGCAGGGACCAGTGCCACCCCCTCCTCAAGAGTCGTCAGTCGGGATCAGGTGCGTGACCGAGATCCTCAGATTGAGGAGAAGAGGAGGGTCAAACATAGGCACGACGGCCTTGGGAAGGGATCCAGGGCCTCCCCCGCTCAGCAGCAAAGTGAGAGAAGCCGTGGGTTACCCCCTGCTCCTCAGCAACAACAGCAACAGCAACAACAACAACAGCAACAGCGTCGACAGCAGACTCCTCTTCCGCAGACAGTGGAAGCTGCAGAGTGGAACCCTCGAGCCACTGATCACATGGACCGAGTGATCAGGGTTGACAATTTCATTTTGCAGGACCCTCATGTCGCCAATGCAGTGAGTGAGACGCTGCATTTCGAGGCCGACATGGCGGCTCACAGAGGGCGATCAACAAACGTGTTTTTCCTTCCATCATCCAAAATTCCTTGGTGGTAAGTTTCATCTTTGCTTCAGTCTCTTTTAGCCCTAACTTTCCTTTTAGTGACATGCTCTTTCATTTGCAGGCCACCCAACAGATTTTCATAAATGCGGCGCGGTACCATGGGACTAGGATGGACCTTCAGCGGGTTCGAGAGCAGAAGGAAGAAGCCGAGGGAGCCCTTGCCAGTGCTAGGGAGGATGTCGTTGCAAGGGATTCCATTCTCGCAAGGCAGGCTGCTCAAATCGAGCAACTCCTCAAGGAGGCCGAGATGGCGAAGGTGGGCGCTGAAAAGCTAAGTGTTGCCCTTGCCGACGCTGAGAGGAGGATAACAGAACAGACGCAGCAGCTCTCTGCGGCAGAGGAGAGGGCTGTTGGTTCAGAGGAAAGCTGTCTGGCTCTGACCCAGGAGCTGGACAGGATCAGGGATGAGGCACTGAATAGGAAGTCCGAGGAGCAACTCCGAGAAGAGTTCGCCGATGACGTGCTCCCTGCTCTTGAGAAAAACAACAAGGAGTTCTTCAAGAGGGGGTGGGACGAGGCGCTCCGGTCTGCTGGAATCCCGTCAGACTCTCCACTCTTCCAGATGCACAAGTACGTGCCCTCGGCGGAGATGGAACGGGCCAAACCAGAGATTGCTGCCGAGGGCGAGATTCCAATGCCGGTGCAAGTTTCGGTGGATCTGCCTGAGGCGGTAATAGTGAATTTGTCTGATGAGGCCCTGTCGGACCGGGACCCCCTCAGGGTCCTTCTGTCGCCGAAGTACCTCCCGCTACGCCTGCTCCCGAAGCTGCTCAACCTTTCTATGCCGATTCGCCATCGGCGGATATTTTGGAGATGCCCAAGGCAGGATGAAAACTCTTTTTTTTTTTTTTTTCTTTTTGATCTGTACTTTTTCCCTTGTAGCTTTTGGGGACGGAAAGTCCCTTTTTTTGAACAAAGTTCTGTTTAAAGGTCTAATATCGGATGGAATGTGATTCCTGATTTTGAATTCTTTCTTGCGTATACTTTCGTAGGAATCCTTGAAATGTCCTAGAAGGCTTGCTCCTGTGTTTGTTTCAGGGGCGAAAGTTTTTGAACTCCGTCCCCAGGGCCTTGCTCTTCCAGGAGGCTTGCTCCTGTGTTTGTTTCGGGGCCGAGAGTCTTTGTACTCTGTCCCCAGGGCCTTGCCCTTCCAGGAGACTTGCTCCTGTGTTTGTTTCGGGGGCGAGAGTCTTTGAACTCTGTTCCAAGGCCCTTGCTCTTTATCTTTGTCGTTGGCAAACACTGAGGCAGACAAATACTAAAAAATAGTATTTTTTTAGATTCATCACATTCCACGGTCGCGTTACAAGTTTTCCCTCCATATCTTCTAATCTATACGACCCGACGCCCCCGACAGATATCACTTTATAAGGCCCTTCCCAGTTAGGTCCCATTTTTCCTTATGTTGGGTCACGGGTATTGGCCGTTACCCTTCTGAGGACCAGATCGCCGATTTGGAATTCTCACGCCTTGACCTTTTTGTTGTACAGTTGGGAAATCTTTTCCTGGTATTTTGTTATTCTTAAGGCGGCTGTCTCCCTTTTTTCTTCCACCAGATCCAAATCAAGCCCCAGTTGACGGTTATTTCCCCCCCATGTCGAAAGCTTGGGTCCTTATGGTCGGGAGTCCTACCTCAAGAGGTATGATGGCTTTCATCCCGTAAGCCAGGGAGTATGGGGTTTCTCCTGTTGAGGACCGAGGGGTGGTCCTGTACACCCACAAAATGTTTAATAACTCGCT